AAACTCAGCAGCTGCTAGGTTCAAAATTGAACCTAGCAATTGTTAGGTTTTCACAAGTGATCAAACCCTGTAGGCATTGGGTTTCATTTCAAACCCAATTGTTGTTGGGTCGATGGAACCCAATAGCTACTAGGTTCGAGCAAGCGCTGGGTTCTTGCAGGTGCCGGGTTCAAAATCGAACCCAAAAGGCATTGGGTTCCATTTCAAACCCAACAACCATTAGGTCGATGGATTTGTTGAGTTTGATTTGGTTATCGATTTGTTGTCTGTTGTGTTATCCTCAGATTCTTGCAGGTGCTAGGTTCGATTTCAAACCTAGCAAGTGATCAAACCCAAAAGGCGTTGGGTTTTGTTTCAAACCTAGTAGCCGTTGGGTCAATGGATCTATTGAGTTTGATCTGTTTATCGATTTGTTGTCTGTTGTGTTATCCTCAGATTCTTGAGGTGTTTGGTTCGATTTCGAACCTAGCAAGTGATCAAACCCAGCAACTATTGTGTTCTATTTCAAACCTAACAACAGTTGGGTCAAATGATCTATTGAGTTCAATCTGTTGATTTGTTGTGTTATCCTCGGATTTAATATTAGGAGGTGTTAGGGTTTGCAGAAGGTGAAAGGAAAGGGAGAGGAAGAAGAAAGAGAAAAAGGAAAAACAAAGCAAGAAAAAAAAAAGAAAGGAAAAAGGAAATTTTTAAAGTTTTTTCTTGCCATCTCATTTTTTTGCCACATTGTACATCCTAGGTGTCAAAATGCTTTTACATGTCATCCTTTTCCCGTCAAGTAATGAGACACATAAGTGGATATTTAACAAAAGGACCAAATCGGGGTAAAAATGGTAAATAGTAGGGACCAAGTCAGGGATTTTTTTAGTTTAGGGATCAAATTGGGGGTCTATACAACAATTTAGGGACCAAAATGGGGTTTTAACCAAAGATCTACGGTCAATCCATATAAACTCCCAGCTTTCTTTAGGATTAGCAAGCTAAATATGCTCTCAAAGCAATATTTCAATTACATAAAAGGATATTTTGTTGCTTTCATATTCAAGCATATATTAATGCCATACTATATCAAAATATATTTCAATTAATTGAGCATAGGTTTATATGTCTCCTTAAATCCTATATAACAATGGAGATTATATTTCAATTGTATTTGTAAAAGGCTTAGTAATCATGTTCCTAAGGGATGCAACACATGAAAAATCACTTAATTGCCAAGTTACTTAGGCCCAAATCATTCCAAGATCAACTTTCTAGTTATCCCTAATGTTTGATCCCATTAGATTCATATACGTAATTTAGAAGAGAGTTTTTCAAATATATGCCTTTTGGCCACATAAGACATGTGACATAGGGGCCTTTTGTGCTATTATCATTCATGATTTCAATATGATAACCATTATATGTTTATACCCTTAAAGTTTAGTAGATTCCAATATAATCTACTAAGATACAACTATTCACATATTTAAAATTTTTGCTTCTCCAAACTGCAAAATTCAAGATTTTTATGAGCTTTCAATAGTAAACAATATACAAGCTCTTTGGATTTTTCAATCAAGTTTATAAAATGAAATATCACATTAGCTTTAAACTAATTGTATCCAAGAAAAGTTTTTTTTTTTTTTTTAGGGATATTTTATCATGGCATAACCTTTTGCACATTGAAAATGGCACACAATTTGTCAAGTTCTATTCCACTTTATACATTTTGTATAATAAGAGTGCATGTATGACATATTTTATTAATCATAAAGACACCATACCTTCATTGTATGATAGCAATACTTTACATAATTTCAACTTTTCAGTCTTGATTTTATCACTATAATAAGGATGCCTTTTTTCAAAGTATATCTCCATCAATATGTAACCTCTATATTGAGAGATATTAAATGAGATTAATATGAATCTCAAAATTTGAGATTTAAATTCTTTATATGAGAAATGATATTATAAAATTTATATCCATTCATGGATGCGTTCTTGCATCTCATCTTTCATTAAAAGTGAATTCTTATTGAGGAGACTTGATTTCAAAGAATTTTCTTTTTAATTCACGATCCCCATATTAGAATATATATTTAATTTTTCAAACATTGGAGATATATCTTCTCAATATTTTCAAAATGGATATAATATATCCAAGTTTCAAATTGTGTATCACAAATTTCACAAGTGCATATCCATAATATTATCCACAAAAATATGTTTGTGCACCTTTTCCCTTCTCATTGGGTAAAGCTAGGAACAAATCCAGCAAATACTTGGAGATATATGGATAAATACATAAATTACTTGGATATAAAAAAGATATGTGACTAATATTCATTTATGTGACATCTAAGAATTCTCAAATTCTTTGCTAAATTATTTTACAAATCTGTTCTTTTTTGCAAAAGTCTCATTTCACAACCATATTTATAACCATGATTATAACATGAAGTGACATTCTCTTCTAGGAATGGAATCAAACCAATGGTTATAATTGATGATTTTTCATCAATTTAAAATTTTGTTGGTAACAAGAAGACATGTATTTATTTTTAATATACATGTTAAAATTACATTCTCGAGAGTGCTACTTTTAGACATATTTGAGGCATGAAAAGAACAATGCATCTTCTCTTATATGCTTTCATCAATAATAATTTTTTTTCGTATGAAGTAATTTAAAATATTTGTGAATTCATACTCGAGTAATAAATAAAACCATTCATAATTAGTTTTTTGGAAGAGTTGCAATTTTCTTTTGATAATCATCTTTCTTCCAAACAATTCCACGATTCCAATGAATCATTCATCATCAAATATTCGTCTCTTACTTCTTTTTGGACTTCCTAATGAAGAGATACCATTTCATCACAATCCTTCAAGGATGCCTTTGTTTTTTCTTCAAAAATATTTTCTTTCTCTAAGAGATACTTTATTCCCCTCTACAATTGAATCTTCAAGATTCATTGGAAGTAAATGAATTTTCACATCAAGAGTTCATGAAAAATAGTTAGGGCCCAATTTTTCAAAGGCAATGAACTCAAGTCTTTTGACAAGTGCAAGATAACATATAAACAAGAAAATCGTTATAGTACCATAAAATGTTCAAATTAAAAACTAGAAATTGAAAGACAATTTTTTGCCTCAAAATCTATTGTCAAAACTTATCTCAACTTAGATCTTTACCTCAATTAGTTCATCACCTCAAATAAGATTCATGAATAGTAATTCTTTTAGAGACAAATTGTGCTAATAATGTGTTATAAATAAAGAAAGAATCGATAAGAAGAAGAAGAAAAATTAGAGAGACAAAGTGAGGTAATGCTAAGATATATTTCTATTCCTTTCTTCTCCATTTGTTCTTCATTTGTTCTCTGTACATTTCCACACATTTGGAAGATTACAAGCCCTATATATATAGGGCCAATAAGGGATAGGAGTTACAAGGAATTAACACCCACTAAATGGAGGTTACAAGCATTAATATGCTACTAATGGAGGGGTTATAAGGAATCCAATTATCACCATTTAAATGCATAGTATTATGGAGTGTTAATCACCATTGTAATTATATGGAGGTAGTGGAAGTTACATTATTATTTGGTGTGTAAATGCCATGGAAAGTGCGGAGGTGAGAGGATGAAGAAGGTGAAACATCCATAACGAATTAATTCATAAGTAATAATTACTTGATAAAATTTCATATTTATTTATAAGTAATCACTACTTAAATAAGCTTTTTTATTTAATAAATATTGTAATTATTTTTTTTAAATAAGTGCATTAATGACATTTTAAAAAAATTAACAACAAAATTTAAATGCCTTAGTTGAAAATTAGGTATGCTAAAATTATAGGGAGGGAGGATGAAATTTCAAAATAGATAAATAAAATTAGAAATTATTCTTTTTTTTTTAGTACATCTGATTATGGGCTATACAAGAGGGAATAGTCATATCATATTTCCAAATCTCTCCCCACTTGACTCAAAACTTGAACTAGAAATGTCCAATTTTGGAGTCTCTCTTAACTGTTGAGCCATTCCATTGGGATTAAATCAAATTAAAAATTATTCTAGCTATTTAATATTTTATTTTATTTTATTTTTATTCAAATTTTGGCAACAGAATAAAAACAGACAATGGCATCTCTTTTTAATTTTACCTTTATTAATAACTATTCCACTTTAAAGAACATATCTTAAATTTTCAACTTCCCTCATTGCTTATTAATAATATGTTTGTTTAATATATGCCTTCAGTACAAATTAAATGGATAATTAATATATTTTTTTATAATAAATTTATATGAAAAGTATATGTTTTGGTTTTGATCCAATCAATTAACTAATTAAAATTATCTATTTTGTTGATGTGATAAAATATGTCATTTTTTATTATTTTTTATATAAATTAATTACAAAAATACATTTATTATATTCTTAATATGAGCTTTTAAAATACAAATAAGACAAACCCATTAATAATTATTCTTTTATATGTTGAAAGACGCATCTTAACTTCCAACTTCCTTTATTAATAAGAGTAAGTATTAAATTTTAATAAATAATTATTGCATTTTAATTAATTTTAATATTTTTTCTATAAAATACGTACTAGAATATTGTTTATTAATTAGATTTGTAAAAAAAAGCTAGGTGAAGAAATATGATTAGAAATTTATTTACATACAAATGTTACACATTATACTTATATAAAATTTCAAATGTTCATTTTAAATGTTTATTTCTTCACTTTCAATAGCTAAAATTTATTCATATTTATTACAAATAATTATTTTTATTTAAAAAGTTATAACAAATTTTAACTATTAAAAATAAAAAAAAATTATTAAAATTTTAAATAATTATAA